TAGCCCCCCCCCCCCGCCCGTCCATTCTTATGTTGTAGAGGCTCAGTCTTTCTTTTTTTTGAAAGGAGGGAAACCAAATAGTTTTGTCCTATGTTCCCATCCATGTGCAAAATAATAACCAAAGCTCAGTACATACAACAGGTACTTAATACCCATTAGTGAAAAATGTTTTGGCACTTGTGTTTCAGGCACTGTGTTTCTAATTCACTGAATCTCCACAGCGGCCTTCTGCAGGTGGGCGCTACCGCTTTTCCCATTGTTTAGCAGGGGAGATTAAAGCACTGCTGCGGCTGGTCAGGAGTAAAGGTGGTATTCACACCCGGACCATCTGCCTCCCCGCTGATGCTGTCAGTCGCTTTGCAGTGATGTCTCCCCTTTGTTGCATCAGGAGAGGAGGAAGGGAGAGTCCCCTGTTTGGTGGCAGTGGTCTTTGCTCACACACTGTGTCATATCTCATTACGCAATTTTGAGAAAGTAGGGACCCAGTGGCCACGTCTCCCTCTGAAGCGCAAGAATCCGTCACTCAGCTTCGCTGTGAGCACTGCAAGCAACAGAAATTGACTTCCCCTTCACACCCCAGTAAAGACTGGACATTTTACTTGCCAGAAGGCCAGTCGTTCCTAGCAAGCTTCAGTTCTTGGTCCCTTCTGTCCCCTGCAAGGTTGCAGATTCACCCTGTGAATTTTTCTTGCCTACCTGGTTTCTAGAGACCCTGAACACGGGTTCCCAAACACAGCATGTGTCTGCTATTATCCTCTTCCTACACCCATTCCGTGCCTTTGCCCCCACCTCACCTCCAGGCTGCAGAATACAACATCTTCGAAGGGATGGAGCTGCGTGGGGCCCCCCTGGTCGTCATCTGCCAGGGCAAGATCATGCTGGAAGACGGCAACCTGCACGTGACCCAGGGGGCCGGCCGCTTCATCCCCTGCGGCCCCTTTTCCGACTACGTCTACAAACGAATCAAAGCCAGGAGGAGGGTAAGGGGCCAGGGGAGCCTGTGTGTCCTGCTCAGGCTCGGGGATGGTAACCCCAAGACCAGGGCACAGTGTCTTCACAAGACGCTCACAGTGACGTGCTCATCCTGAAGAGCCAGTTCACAATGTGCTCTGAGAGGGCGTTCAGACAACAGCTGTTTTCAAATACTTTCCTTACATTTTAGATTTAAAATACTGTAAAATTTGAATAACCTGTTACAGTTTTTGTAAAAATAAATTAAAAGCTCTCAGAAAGCCCCCAAATTAAGGCTTAAAATAAGAAGCAGTAGTCCATATCCACCTGTCACTGTCCCACGCTGACCAGGGCTATTCCACAGGGCGTGTGCTTACAACTTCTAGCTACTGTGGTTCAAATAATAAGATCTTACTGTGTCCCTGACTTTGTACACATGCACACACACGTGCACACTAGCTGTAATTCATTGGGATATTTCTTTTCTGGTTTTCTCCCCTCTCTCACCTCCATGTCACCTTCCTGTAATCATAAGTCTTCGCAAAGCAAGCTTGGAGCAGATCTACACTCCACTGTCAGCCTGAGAGAGAAGGGACTGAGGCTCACAGCTCCCTAGACCCACTCCTTTCTATCAGCGTGACTTAGATTCTGCAGCTAAAGAGATAGCGTAGTGTGATGAAATCATTCATGACTCATTGTCACTTGCACATTTGCTGAGCTTGGCTTCTGTGCCTGCCCCGAGTCACAGCGTGGAGGAGCGCACAGCAGAGCTGCAGGAGCATCTGGCCAGTGACCAGATGTGTTGAAGGCTGTGTGAGGTGTGGTCCTCCTCGGGGTCTCACCGTGTTTGTCTGTGGGTTTACGCTGTGCTTCCCTGACCGTAAACCGCACGATGGCTGTGATGCCCGGCGCAGCGAACGCACTCAGTAATGTTGCTGGCCGGCGCCTCAGTCCCAGGTCAGGCTCACAGCCACAGCCACCAGTCAGCAGGTCAGACCCCAGACTCTCGTTTCAGCCCCGTCACTGCTGCTTTGTGCTGTGCAGGCTCCGTGTGGCCCCACCCGCCAGCCGTTGCGTGTGACTCCCCTCAGCCTGCCGTCCTTCCCTGTCCTTGAGCTGTGCTCATAGTTCTTCCATTCCGCCGCAGTTCACCTGCCTTCTGTTCGCTCTGCGGGCGACACTGCCATTCACACCGCGCCTCTGCATCCCCAGCCTTGTCCCTCCCGAGAGCCCAGCCCCGTAACAGGGTACTTTGGTCCTTGAGTTGAAGGAAGCGCAGCTATGGGCTTTATGGGCCATCTCCATTCCGGGCGGTTGCGACATCTTTATTGTACGCGCTTTCTCCCTTACACCCATCATCATCATCATCACCACCATCTCCTTCCCTACACACAAGTAGGCCCTAAACTCTTCATGAACGAGGGTGATGCGCCATTTCTCTGCTGCAGATGGCGGACCTGCATGCCGTCCCGAGGGGCATGTACGACGGGCCCGTGTTTGACCTGACTACCACCCCCAAAGGGGGCACCCCTGCGGGCTCCACCCGGGGCTCCCCCACGCGGCCCAACCCGCCTGTGAGGAACCTCCACCAGTCGGGGTTCAGCCTGTCGGGTGAGTGGACGAACTGGTGGCTGGGGAGACCAGTGCTTGGGGGCCACCGACTGCTCCCCACCTGGAATGAGCCTTCCAGCCCAGTGCTGGCATCCTCTGTAAGGATGGTCACGGGGCGCAGCAGGATGGTCAGAAAGTCAGCCAAGGCAGTCAGGTTAGAGGTCAAGGTCAAATAAGGACAGTTTGTGCTTGAGAGACCAGAACCAGGGTTGGGGATTTAGCTCAGTGGTTCGCTGTCTGCCTCAAAAAGCACAAGGACCAGAGTTCAATCCCTGGTACCAAAAAAAGAGAGACCGGAACTGTCTGGGGATGGGGCAAGGGAGCTGGTTTTCACTGAATTGATGATACTTTTTTACATTAACAGCTCTGCAATATACATTGTATGTGGTCTTGCACTTGTACTGGTCAAAAGAAAGCTGACGTTATTCTTTGGCTCAAATCATTAGCTTCTTCTAGCATAGGATTTTTATTATCTTCTCCCCTCCATACTAGTAATAATGCTAACAGCAGCTTCCATTGATAGAACACTTAGCTACCACGGGTTACTCATTAATTTTATCTAGTCTTTAAGAACTCTCTGAAATAAATGAAGCGTAATTGCTCAATTGCTCATAGCCAGTAGTTTTAAAGCAGGAAATAATGATAGATTGATATCCCTATCGTGAACAATTTAAATAGTAGGGAAGCAAGATAGTAACAAAAGATATATTTGAGGCAAAAATCACAGGATATAGGGAAAAGAATAAGAGGAAACAGGAAGCAAAAGAGATGAGAGATGTAGGGAAAAGGACAAAGGGCTTAAGGGTTTTGGTAGAGAGACCTCTACCCAAGGCCTCCGTCTGCTGACTCCAAGCAGTTTTCAAAAGTGTTGCAGCGGCTGTTTGCACTGCTCTGGTTTAAGCCTTTAAGGCTCCAAGCTGAAAGGACCCAAGAACACATTGTCTCCTCCGGGAAGTCTGGGCGGTGGCCTGGCCTCTCTGAGCTCCGCCCTCCGCCCCCGGAAGCGAGCGGCGCCCGCTGAGCCACGCTGCGAGGCTTATGCAGGTGGTGCTGGAACTCTTAGGACCTGGTCAGCCGCAGCGAATGAAAGGAGCTGCTGTGTTTAGCGTCCTTACTGTTCCTTTTCTTAGTATTCTTACCATGTTGAGGGTCAGAAGAGATCCTGTTAAGCACTTGGCTTTTTTCCCAGAAGGTAGTTTTTTCGAGAAGTGGGGGAATGAATATGAAAAATTCAAGATTTGGTGTTTCTTGGGGGTGATGCGGCAGGAAGGCGCTTAATATCTTACACTGTTAGAATTAACCAGTTTCTCTTTTGTTCATACCCCTCTGCTTTCCTTTCCGTGGTTTGTTTTTTGTTTTTGTTTTCCTCTCCCCCCCTTGGGGTTTCTACCTGCAGGCACCCAGGTGGACGAGGGGGTCCGCTCAGCCAGCAAGCGCATCGTGGCGCCCCCTGGAGGCCGCTCTAATATCACATCCCTGAGTTAAGCAACCTTTCCCCAAAGGGGAGCAGAAGCAAGAAGAGATTTTTTTGAAGCCAAAATGGTACACCAATATTTAAGAAGGAAAGCAAATCCAAACGGTTGCGGTATAAAGAATCAATAAGCCTCAAGCCTTATGTTTCTCCATGTTAAGCTCGCTTGCCTAGCTTTACGAATATTGCTTTGTTTTCTGTTTATGCGTAGCCTTGATTTGTTGGACCCTCTCCCCCATTTACATGCATGCAATCAGACAGGCCGCTAAGGTAAAAGAGTCTGCTATATTATAGTGTTGAGAGCGTGTGTAGTGCTGCATCGTACGACAAGGGGACAGACAAAGCTGGGAGGTCAGGGAAATGACAAAAGGGACGCAGGTTATTTGGGGCGAGTGGGTGGTGGGAGCCAAGAGCAAGGTGGAGGGCACCGAGGGGAGGGGGTAGGGTGTGCAGGGGGGTGGGCCGTCGTGTACTGTGTTGGTGATGTGTGTTTATTTCCACTTCCAGCAGCTGTCACGCACTGCAGTCCCTCGGGGTCTGCAGAGACGCAGGCTAGTCTTCGGCTTCTGGATTTGTCAGGTCCCTTCCTAGTAGATTTTGTTTCTTTGAATATTAATTAAAACACCAAAACCCAACCATTTCTTCCACCTGCCTGATTATGCCAGTGTTTGTTCGGGCCTCTTTCTCGCTTGGTGTTGCCTTCAAATCCTCCTCACTCCTGGGCAGGCAGGTCGGATAGGGAGGAGCAGGTGACTCGCCTCACCCTCTGTGCCTCTGTGGCGCTCTTGAAAGGCAACGACTGAGGATGCAGTCAGACTGTTTGGTAAAGGGCAGCAGAAGCCACAGTTCACTTCCTTCTGCCCGAGGCTGGGGAGGCCCTGGCCCTGCAGTAGGGCTTCAGCTCAGATGGGCAGGATGAAGGGCCTCTTGCCAGTGGTGGGTGTGGATTCTCCTGATCGCCTGAGATCCAAGCACATCAGTGACTGCATAGGATTTTTAATCACTTTTCTCTTAGATCCCTAACTTTTCCTACTAATATGGCAGTCAACTCGGGATTTGGGAAAGTCAGTCCAACGCAGAGAAAGCACACTCTGTTAGCCTGGTTCAGTCTCTCAGTTCTAAGCCATCCGTTTCCTCTTTCATTCACAGATCCCGGGGGGCGGGGAGAGCTCTATTTTGGCACCAAAATCTCAGAGTGAGTCGCAGTGACAGGACGCGGCTTCCTGAAGGGGCAGTGAAGGAAGTCAGCGGAGGGTTTGCATCTCTCTTGTCTGTCAGAGCGGAGTGTCCATTTCCTCATCAGTCTACTTCTGCAAGCTCAAGTTTTGGAGCAGCTCCTGTGAATGAGACAAGGAGTAGGGGGTAGAACGGGGACACCTCCTTACCAGGACAAACACCTTAGCCTGGGTCAGGCTTCTGTGCCCTGGGAATACAGCTGACAGAAGCCATAAACCTGTGTACTAAGTACTTTGAAGAGAAGAGCAGGCCTCACACACCTTTTAAGTGCTTAGGAGAAACCATTGTCCCTGGCTGAAGTTGTGTATTTTGTTTTGTTTTTTTTTTGTTAATGGGGCTGGGGATTAAACCAGGGCCTCACATATGCTAGGCAAACCCCCTGCCACTGAGCTACACCCCAGTCCTAACTGCGGGGTTTAAAAATCTAAAGATTGGAGAAAAGTGATCACATAGCTACCAAGAATTTAGAAATAACTAAGAAAGAGCATTTTCCATAGCAAGCTACTTTCTGTTGTCATCATGAAAAAGGCTTTCACCTAATAGGGAATCTTGCTATCTTAAGGCTCTCATGGTGCTTTTAAGGAAAACTTTAGTAAATAGGAAAAACTTAGCTTTAATTTAAAATTCCAATATTGAAGAACCTACCAAGGAACTCAGAATGACTCCTACATATGAAGGGAGTATGCCAGATATACCTCAGTAAGCCAGGCTGGGCTTTAGCGTGCAGTACCAGCCATGGCCACCAGATGGAGGAAGAGACGTGAAGAAACTGTAGCGCCCGAAGCGTCCAGTTCTGCCCCATCCTGGAGTCTGACTCATCCCTCCCCAGGCTCTCTGTGCCCCTGAAGATAAGTCTTCCACAGGCCAATTGGTTACGTGCAGTGCGCTAGGGGCCTCCAAAATGCAGCCTTCGACCGGAACTTTGTTCTGCGTGAGCTTTCTATGCTGTCAGGATAACTAACCTCACAGTGCCCTCAGGATGGGCAACACCATTTTAGGAAGCCTCCTTCCTTCACTTGTCATTAAAACATTCAAGCATAGAGATTCTCAAGGATTCCTAGAAAATGCCCCACTATTTTCTTAACACGAGTACTGAGTAACATGTTAAGATTTATACTCACAGTTTGTTCTGCTCCGTAGACCTGCGGAACAGCCCTCTGCACAGGGCTGAGCTAGAAAACGATGTGGCCGTGTGGCCTGGCCCTGATTCCCAACCTGCCGGCCGCTCATCCGGGCGCAGGAGGGCGCCTGGGCCTTTTCTCTTCCTCCCCAGCTGGTGTTGGACGTCCCCTCTCCTGGCCTGGCCCCTCTCTGAGGATGGCCCTGCCACCCCCCAGCTTTCTTACCTTCTCTTCTTGCTAGAGTGCTTGGGTGGGTGAGTAGTTGAGAATTAATCTGTGGAATTGTTAACCAGTGACTTCTTTTATTTTCAAAAACTAGTACAAGTATAGTCATGCCTCCAATGGCTTTTTCTTTCAAAATCTACTCAGACTGTGGCATTGTTCTCCATGGCTGTACCCAGTAAGGCATTCTCTCCTCCCAAGTCCAGAAGCTAAGCTGGACCCAGGTTGCTCACCCTGAGACGCCCCTTCCACCAGGGTGGACACTTCCCAACTTTGGCTCCTGCCACAGCCTCCCAGGCCCTGACCCCTAAACAACCCCAGCTCGAGTCCCAGTGAGCTCATGGACTGACTGGGCATCCCAAGAGTTCCCCCCTTTGAGCAGTGGTGTGTGGGTGTCCGTTCTGCGTCTGGTGGATGTGAACAGACAGTAAATCTCCCTGTGATCTGTGCTAGCTGTGAGGCAGCTCGCGAACACAAAAGAGCTGTTTGGTTTGAACCGTGAAGAAAACTGTGTATTGAGTTAGCTGAGATTAAAAAACAAAAAAGTTCATCAAGTGACTGTTAATGTAAATTCAGTTATTAAAGTAACTATAAAATTATCAGCACTCTTCTCCAGTCTTTTGTGTGTCGTGTGCCGTTTCACCTACTGGGTCAGTATCGCACAATAAGACAGAAATATCTGGGGGACAGCAGTCACCTGGAGAAGATGTCTTGTGGTTTCTGTTTTCTCACTGAGGCTGAGTTATTAGCTGAAGCCACAGAGTTTGATAACCATTATTGAAACCTTGGGGAATGATTAGGATTTTCCTGTGAATCATCAAATTTAGTACCAATATAGAAGGCCTTGCCATTTGCAGTAAATCTAGTCAAGTGCAGGAGAGAACTGAAAAGAACTTTTTTATCATCCCTTAAAGCTTTGTTTTCAGTTTGCTTTACAAAACATATTCTTTCTAACTCTAGACATATGCCGCGTAGCAAACATTTCAAGGACTCAAATGAATATTCAAAACAATCATTTGCTTTATCTGCTTCTCTGAAAGCTTTAAGGTGCATATCAGCAAACTGAAGGCTCTGAGAAATCCTGTAATAAAAGTCTTTAAAACTCTAAAATATCGCTGAGCCCAATATTAATTTGTACAGGTCATTTTTCACTGGAAAGGTTACACTAGTGTATGGGCATGAGGATGGAAGCTTGAAAGGAGGAATTTGTAAATCTGGTGCAACTGGGGATCTCGGTGGATTTGGGCAGCAGACTGGTCCACCTAGACGGAGTGGGAGCCATGCCACCAGGGTGCTTCCTTCCACCTCAGCTCTGCTGGCCTTGAGCAGGTGCCTCCTTCTCGTGAAAGCCCTTTCCGTGTGGAGACAAAGGTGATCATCAGCATCTCTACCTTTGCGTCTTACCTGCTTACGAACCTCAAAGGAAGGAGAGGGATTTCCTTAGGCAGAGATGGACTCTGGCTGTTCTGGTCTCGGTCATGTGTCCACCATGAACTGGTCACGGTGGTCAGTGAGTTGGCCACACCAAGTCACGGGCTCAGCTCCTGAGCCACCAGAGCTCTGGACCGCACAGACTCATTGACTCCAGAAGAAAATAAAGTTGTGAACTAGAAGGGTATGAGTGCTGGGAAGTCAGAGGCTGCCGCACCGTCCTCAGGCCGGAGAGCACGGCTGCACAGCTTGGTGACCGGTTTGTGCATAGGCCTGGGCAGGCAGGGAGGAGTGGGAGCCCAGGGGAGGGCCACTTCTAAGTGACTGCTCTTCCATGTGGTGAATCCCTCTTGGTTTGCTAGAACGATGCCTTTGATAACGAGCTGAGTGAGGACACCTTTTACCACAAACTCAGAAGCCAGATAAATGCTACTCTGTGTACATAAAGAACTGTTTTACAGTTGAGGTTCCAGGTTCTATTTTTTAAAAGCTTTGATCCATAGTTTCACATCATGGCTCAAACTTCAGGTTGATGAAATACCTCTTCCTGATCATGACCAGGAATACTGAGCTTGTCTAAGGATTTGAGAGGGTGTAAAGGGAGTACTCTGCATTTCAGTGAACTCAGAATGCAAAAGGGGAAAGTGATATTTTTAAAGTACTAGTGAGGATACACTGACTAAAGGATAACCTCTAGGCTGGGGGTCAGTGGCTGAGTCACTTCTGAACAGTGAGGAAGGAATGAGAGCACTGAATATGAACAAGGGTACTCTCATTCCAAAACCTTCTGGAATTCCATAGTTTCACATCATGGCTCAAACTTCAGGTTGATGAAATACCTCTTCCTGATCATGACCAGGAATACTGAGCTTGTCTAAGGATTTGAGAGGGTGTAAAGGGAGTACTCTGCATTTCAGTGAACTCAGAATGCAAAAGGGGAAAGTGATATTTTTAAAGTACTAGTGAGGATACACTGACTAAAGGATAACCTCTAGGCTGGGGGTCAGTGGCTGAGTCACTTCTGAACAGTGAGGAAGGAATGAGAGCACTGAATATGAACAAGGGTACTCTCATTCCAAAGAACCTTCTGGAATCACCACTCTCATTCCAAAGAACCTTCTGGAATCACCACTCTCATTCCAAAGAACCTTCTGGAATCACCTCTCCTAGCACCAACCATGATCAGCAAATGGAAGGTAAAAGGGCCAGAGTAACCTGCAGAAATGAATCACAGATGTGTTATCAAACTGTATTTTAAAAACTTTATTCTAGTAAAAGACATTGGCATGTATCCCCTCAGAATACGCCCCTCACTTTGAACACACATCATCCTTGCCACTCTCTGAAATGGATAAAGAAGTTCTCTTTCATGAGTGTCTTTATGAGGTGTGATAAAACATACAGTGGGTAACAGGCTTGCAGAAATACTACATTATGCCTTCATTCATTTTATTCTCTGGCTCCAACCGACTTGGGCATTATGAGACATCAGGCTCTTACCCAGAGTCAAAATGACCATGAAAAGTAAACGGTCTGAACCAACTCAGGACAGCAGTGCAGCCAGGACAGCACAACTGAGGACACTTACAAAAGAAGTCTTCTAGAATTGTTTAAGAATGTGGCAAGAATAGTAAGTGTATCCGAAATGAGTTGAAGTATTTTGAAGAGACTTACTGGAAATGAGTCTTCATGTAATACATTTTAAAATTTTTATATTCACTGTATTTTTTGATCATTCTCATAGTTAAGACTGCAACTCTTCAGGCTCTAAAGCGATTTGGACCCTGAATGGGGATTTAGCTCAGTGGATCCGCTGCCTGCCTCACAAACACAAGGGCCAGAGTTCCGGTACCAAAAAAAAAAAAGTTCCAGACCCCGCCCTTCACTCAGCCTGCCACTGAGAACAACACAGCAGGACACTTACAGAACCCAGACAACAGAGTACTCAGCATGCAGGACTTTAAGGCCCACAGGAATCACAGGAGCCTACATATTGCAGGGAGAGCCTGCTGGCTGCTGGGCTGTCGTGGGCCTGGCACATAGGCTGAAAGCTACTTTTGTTCTCTCCTGGGGCAGAAGCTGCTTCTGACAGCAAGAGTTACCAGTTTTCTGTTGTCTTCCCACACCAGATTAAGGGCCTTGGAACATCTGCTGCTCTGATGTATGAAACAGGACTGGACCCTAAGGAGGAGGGTGCTGAAGAAGGTTCACAGGCTGTCCGTGAACTGAGGTCACAGTGACAGACAGGAAGTGGATTCCAGGCTGTGTTCCCTGCAATAATGCTAGAGGGTCGAGGGTTTTCGTGTTTATGTAGGTTGTAGGTAAGATGCGTGCACTCCAGCGTTGCAGAGTTACCATTTCTAACACCACTGTATCTGTGCTAAGGGAAACTCACAACTGGTTATTGAAGTAAGAACATGACTTTGGCACCCTAGACAATACCTCCAGGGGAACACATGATACAGACACTCGCAGCTGACAAAGGCAGAAGACGTTTAATACACACGAGCACACTTGGTTATAGGCGATATAGCTCAACAGAAGCACATTCTCATTCCGGGGCTGCCGGATCAGCTGCCACTTTACAACAGCATACGAAAGTGAAGCTTAGGTTTTTAACAGCAATGGTTAACATCATTGAGACGCACGGCACTTATTATAAGCAGTAATCACAGGTGGACAGAAGTAGCAGACAGGATTTTGTACAGACAATACAGGGACAGCTGGGTACAGAAACAAACACACGGTGCTTCTCATGCCTTCTCATTCAGCCTTAGAAGCACTAAAGCTTTAGCATCACTGATCAGCCACGAGCAGCAGCACTGGTCCATTAGTTAGCTGCATTAATACTCTTTCTTGCTCACTCATCCATCCAATTGAGGAAAGCTATAATGATAGGAAATATCATTTCTGGTTAAAATTCTATCAGACAAAGCCTAACCACTAATTAATTAGATTACTGTAATTGATTTAGCAGGGCTCTGTGCTGTTTGAAGTTTATTCCTGCCCTAGCAGTGACCTCAGCCAGACCAGCGCTGCTGTGGGCGGGTCTGACCCATTAGCACATCTCCCTCTGTGGCATTAGGACCTCCACCTGCGTTCTGGAGCTCCACTCCCGCTAATCTTCTGGAGGTCACTGAATGCACCGGAGGGGAGGCTTGGCTGCAATGCCAGGGGTTTGTAATCGGGACACTCAGATCTTCAGAGAGATGCTCTGTGCAGATAAGGGAGGAAGCTGTTCAGAGAAGATTCCAGGAGAGCAGACAAAAGAATCCCACTTGCCACCCTGTCTCTCAAAATTCTCAGCTCTGAGCATTATCAGGAATCCAGAGGAGACATGTTCCATGAAGTGGGCTGTGAACTTTTAGCCCAAGTTACGGAATAAAACCAAAGGACCTGATTTCAACAGCACCCACCATAAGGGTTTAGGAGATTTTCTGTTTATTTGTGGAAAGTTTTTCTTTCTCATCTTTAAAATGCACAGGTGCTTAAAATTAGTTATTCAGCCAATGAGTGCTTTTCTTTTCTTTTTTTGTCATTTTTGTTTGTGGTGTTGGGAGTCAAATTCAGGCCCTCATGCCTGTGAAGTACTCACTCCTCGACTGGGCTACAGACCCAGCCCATGCTTTTTCTTTTTTACCTCAAATCACATTTTGGCCATCACCTGAGTAGCCCAGGGAGCCCATTCTACTCCCCAAACTCTCTGCTTTCTAATCAGTGAGTCCATGGTTCTGAAAATAGCAGTGGTGTTTCAGGCGTAGACATGAGCTCACTGATAATAAAAACAAAGGATTCGAAGTACAGAGATTGTGTGGGCTTCTATCCAAGTTAAATGGTATAAACATGAAACAGCCCAGACCATTAGTTCTCTTCATCACGGAGGACACTGGTCCCAATGCCCTTTGGTAAATATTTTTAGAAACCTGTCCTTTGAGGATGCACACAAGGTCTTCTCAGGAGACAGAACCGGGTGACGGGACTGGAGTCCATAGCACATCAAGGTTTGAAAAAGACCAAAGGAAGACGGAAGCCAGCAACCACGCAGGCTGGCCGGGTTACCGGTTTGGAGCTGAGTTTGGTCACCTTTCCATTGCTTAACCCAGCCTCTTCTCTACAAGCTAATCCAAGCAAGTGCTTGGAGCTTATGTTTGGGAAAAAACAAAAACAAAATAGCATAGACAAATAACACACGGGCACTTCAGGAAAAGGGGATCACATAGACAAAGAGTTGGCTTTTAGTTTTTTGCTTTTTTCTAAACAAAACTATGGTTGCTCTTAAAGCAGAGTGATATTATTTCACAAATAGGCCCGAAACTATGGGCCTATGAACTCCAATGCTGATCTTCAGCTCAACTCTAGCTTTCCATCCACGTTGAGTTGCCCGACGTGACCTCCCTCTAAAGTGTCTGCTGTACCAGGCAGGCTGCCTTCACCCTTTCTTCTCATCTCTTCTGCCCCATCTGGCTTTTCAAAGGGGTGACATTCTCTGTTGCTGACTTACTGCTGTCCTGGAGGCCCTTTCTCTCCACTGGCAAGGACAGTCCAGACGATCTTTAGCCAAGAGGTTAATACAGCTCTCCTCCAAGCCTGTTCACTTTTTTCCCTCTACCCAGTGTCATTAGTGGAGTGCCAAAAATGGTACTTCTGTAAAGATCGCTGCGTCATGACAGTGAAGTTCTAGCATGCATACAATGAGGTGAGTTAAACTTTGGAAATAAATGCAATGCAAAGGAAAAAAGTAATATTTTAAATGGGCAATTCTGCCTGCCATTCTTGCAGTAAGCACGAAGAAAGGAAACATGGTAGCACTGTACCCTTCTAGGTCTAGAGTTTAAGTCTAAACTCTGAACTTGACTCCACAGACATGTGAGCACCCTGTGCTCTAAGTGTACTTCTGTTCCACAAAGACAGGGATGGCTTGCTCAGCATTCTAGTTTGCAATATTACCAAAAATGTAATAAAAAAGAATAAAAGAAAAGCAGTGCCTTCTTTCCTTATGGAAGAGCAACTCCCTGTGCGAGGCTTTGTGGAAAAGCTACTTCCTACATGCTACAATTAACTGAGGGATTTTCCAAGGGTTAGTTTTACCTTTTGGCAAATTCACTTCTAACCTTCAACATAATAAAATTTTAACGGGCAATTTCCCTGAACTAGGGAGTCAACTTGTTGTCAGTGGGGCAGTGTCTCACAATCCTCTCCAGATCCAGATCTCTGCTAATTCTCAGAAGACACTCCACCCTCAATGGTCACACACACTGGAGGGAAGCAAGTCGCGTGCTGATATTAACAATTAGCTCCCAGGAAGAAAAAAAAAAAAAAGTTGCCCTGATCTGTAGCATTTGCTGGTTTCCATGTTAGGAGTCCTGTTATTATCACCCAGGTCAAGTTAACAGTATCACCCCACTGGAGAAGGTCCCTGGCCCAGCACTGAAGGGCATATAAATCCATGCTACTTCTAATCTGACCTTATGCTTTTCTTTCCAATGAAACTATTCATTCCTACCTTACCGGGCTTTGGAATTCTGACCTGTTTATGACGTTTTCTAGCTCTGAAGAGGCTTACTGTGTCCAATGTCCATTCATCACAGTGTAATGAGAAGGAATGGAAAAATAAATCTACATCCAAATATTTCTTTTTAAAATACAAAGGCCATGTAGAGTAGCAACTGTAGAAGTAAAAAGGCAAGGTACAGCTCAGCTCATATGATCTCCTTCCGGATGAATAAACTGATGCAGAAAAGGGGATTAAATGACTCGCTTGACATCATATAGTTAATTAGTGGTGAAATTACATCCCAGGAGCTCAGGCCCAGGGTCCCTTCACTGGATCACGCTGCATCCTTCGGAGGATGCTCCACATTTCTAAGTGTGAGGTGTGGACTGGTAAGAATTGCTTTCAGTTCTTCTTGGTGTGGACAAGCACAAGTTTCTGGCCTGAAGTGTCAAGAGATGTCAGAGAATACGCTGAGGTGTTTACAAGTTGTTATTGTGGCTGTCTTCTTCTTGTGGGTTTTTGGTTTGTTCCAAGGCTAGATTTGCTTTTCTTTCATTCAAGTCTCTTTTTACTCTTAAAAGAAAAAAAAAAAGTTTCATTCTTTGAGAAGAAAAATAAAAACCTTAAACTTTTTTGAAACATTAGCATATACTCAACAATTTATCAACAGGTAGGAGCCAAGGAAACCTTAAAAGAGTCATTGATTATAAATGTGTACATCCCATCTTCTGTCTTTCCATAGACAAAAACTCGATGCGATACTAATTAATCTACTAAAAAAGAATTTAAATCCCTTACAAGAAAAAAAAGGCTTTCTGAATATTTAAAAAAATTTATATTTAGATATGCATTGTTTATGTAATTATAAAAAATAAAAATGTTTAAAAACAAATCCCTGCAAATGTATTAGATCCCCAAAATGCCATCCTTTTCTAAGGTACCTGTCTCCTAGAACTGACTTACTTTTCTCGGTTGAAAATTATAAATTCCTTCTGGACAGATTCAAGATGTTCTTGAAGAAGACCCATCTTTACAGGACGAACAGTGGAGAAAAGAGAGGAACAGTTAAGTGAGCGTCCTCAAATAGCCAGGAATCTATAGATTGTCTATTGAAAGAATTACCCTAAGTAAATACCAAAGTAGCTTTCAAAACGGAAATTAAATGAAGTTTCTGAGAAGGTGGCAGAGTAGGAAGCTCTCCACTTATCCAACAAGGACCCTGGTAAATCTGTCTGACGTAGCTAGTTTGGATGTCTGGAGGGTACACTGGGCTGTCTGCTGCTCCCTGACTGCTGTTTCTCGTCACAGAGGAGCAGACAACAGGGCCAGTGGTCACGGTGGTGCCCCCTCATTGCTACAAGCCTCTTCACACCTTGCAGAAGCAGGGTGTGGGATGACTGGTCTACCGAGAAGGCAGCCTCCCGGGGCCCCACCCCGAGTTAGGTGGGGCTAACTTACCTGAGACGAATCACATTTCCTCATCTCCTTCTCCTTCTTTGCCAAGCGCTTCTTTTTCTTATGAAGAGGTTTGGATTCCAAAATCATCTCTTCGAGTTCAAAGGTAGGGTCACAATTCAGCCTGCCTTTCTGCAAGGAAGAGGGGTTGGGTTGGCTCAGTCTTCAGATTCCTGTGATAGTCTCAAAACACACCAGGCCTGACCTGGAGTCTAACATTTGATCTTAACGCGGCAGTCTGAGGATAACTGGCTTGGATTCCCACTCTTAAGTTCTTATTGCTTACTGCCAGACGATTTTTTCATATTCTTTGATTTTCCATTTTGTTTGCTTTTTTAACTTCTGGTTAGCTCTCGGTACATAAGAAAGGAGAACTAAATTATTTTGGAAGTTGGGCTATTGAGTTTCTCAAAGTTTGTTCTAATGACCATTGCTGGTTCAGCTTCTCAGGTCTCAAACCAGACTTCTCAAAGCAAGGTTTCTAATCAGGAGGCCGAGGAACTGCCCTATAATAAGCTCCCCAGATAATTTAAACTCACATTGAAGCCCGAGATCCACAGTGCAGAGCTACTCCTGGGTGATGCCAATGAGCAGGCAAAGAGAGGGAAGGGAAGCAAGAGGAGGGCACCCAGACCCCCACAGTATCAGGCTCCAACCCAGGTACGGGCTGCCACTGCTGGGCCACAGCACAGACCAGGAGGAGTTCTGTCTCTCTGTCCTGTTGCTCCACCCTTGCAACTATTTTCCCCCTTACTTTGCACTTCTACCCCTGGCCTGCCCCGGCCAGCTGTTTCCAGGAGCACTTGCACTCCTACACACCAACAGCAAGCGCCTTGCTAAGCGCCTTATTCCTCCATATTTTCCCAATTACGCATTTCTCAAACTGAATATATCATTCAGTCCCGGGCTAAAGAGATAGAAGGAACCAGAAGCCTCACCAGAGCCCTTTGGCCTAGACTTTCATCAGCAACATGCACTGAGACACCAAGATGTCCCTTGGTTCAGGTACTCAGTGGGAATTATTTTTTAATCATTAGTCCTTAAATTCATAGATCCCTGAGAGAAAACCAGCAAAGGGCCAGGTGTGGTGGTGCATGTTTGTAATCCTAGCACTCTGGGAGGCTGAGGCAGGAATGTCACAAATTCAGGCTCAGCTTGGACAAGTTAAAGAGACTCTGTTTCAAAAGAGACAATATAAATTTGGCTGGGACTATGGCTCTGAATGAAGGCCCTGGGTTCCATCCCCAGTACCAAACAAGTAAAAACCAAAAGCTAGCAAAGGAAGAGAGGGGTGAATGGTAAAAATTAATTTCTCACCCTACCCTCAGTAGTCTTTAGTTCTCTGACTCACAGACCCTCATGGGCAAAATTACTAAATATTTGGCATTGGAGAACATTTTTTTTTTTTTTGCAACTAGCAGATTTATAGAAAAGACTATTTGGGAGACTACAACTTCTTTCCAATAAGAACACAGCACAAAATATTTTCAGGATCTTTAGATCCAGCTCCAATTGTATCTAGATTACTTTGGCCACTGATCAACTTACTTCATGTGTGTCTCAGTTTCCTCATCTGTAAAATAGGAATTTAGGCTTTTTTACAACACTTGTGTGATTAATGAGACAACATGTAGATCAAGCACACAGAGTGACACGCGCCCAAACAGATTATTACAGGTTTTCGAGGATTGACTCACATTAGGAACAAAACCTGGAATGAGCCTCTTCTCAAAAACTGCATCCCAGTTCATATCATTCATGTATGGGAAGCTCTGAATGTCATTCAAGCAAGAAAACCGCTGTTCCGGATTAGGTTCAAGTAGCTGCCAATGGAATACAGACATCAAGGTTCGGAGAAAAGTCATAATATAGGGGGACAAAAAAAATCCCACAAACTCCTCTAAATATTTTCAGTGCAGGACTGAAAGACACAAGGCAAGGTCCCTCTTCTCTGACCTCATTTGCAAATAATGTGCACAACAGCTGATTGGAACAGATACTAATTTGTCCTCCTGAATCAAACACATCTTCAGTCCCTAGATCTCTTTACTACGAGCAAGTTTGTTCTCAAAAGTCCAATTTACCGATCTGTAAAACAAATAACAACTTACTGCATAAGGTTGAAACGAGGATTCAACGAGGTCCTAGATGTAAAGAGCTTTATAGAGTGCCCACTGGTGCAGGGGGAAAATGTTCTTATAGCTTCACAAGGGAAACTGATTCTCCCTAGAAATTTTAGCTGTTTTTATAGCTACTTAAAATACATTGGAGGTAGCACAGATAAGATATAACTTACTACAGTTACTGTTGCAGTTTTTCACTAATGGATTAAGGTTTTTCCCTATTAACCACTCCCAAGTCAACATCATATCTATGGTTCAGCTGAAGTGGGAGATGGCAGCCCCACTTGAGAATGCTTTTGAAAGCACAGTCATGGAATATGAAGGTGTAATTTGGGGATGAATGAAGGTTGTCTTGGACCTGAGACATTTGCTGATGGAAGCTCTCGCTCACCAGTGACATTACTAACGACGATGTCCCTATCCCAAAACAGTGCACTTGGCCCAGAGACAAGAGGCACAGAATTTGAGCATTTAGCCTCTCTACAGCTCTTTCCCTTTATCAGCCACAACCCGGGCAATTTTCTTTCCCTAAAGAAAAAAATAATGAAACGAAAAAGCCAACAAATAAAAAAAACCTCAGCCCAGCCTCTTGGGCTCTTTATACTTGGCTTTGGTTTATTATTAAAAATAAACTGGCTACCTCCTACTATAATTGGTTTAGGCCTTATGGTGAACATAGGCATCACAAAAACCTCATAAAAGCTATGGTCCTCATTCTTTCAAATAGTTAGCAAATTTTACCACTTGTCAGATTCGGTTAGATGCTGAGAGCCACATGGTACAAAGTCAGACATAGTCTCTACCCTCATGCAGCTTACTATAGTGTACACATTAGCCCAAGGATCACAACCATGATAGGTATGGTTGCAAACCAAGAAAAATACTATCAAGGGAAAGAGTGTTAGGAGCTTACAACAGAACTTGCAACACTTCCCCAAGGAAGTGATATTTGAGCCAAAATCTAAAGTTGTGCCAAGCTATGTGGAAAGGTGATATTTTTACCTGTTTTTCCAACCCATCCAAACCAACAGGTGACCCTTTTGTGTATGTCTAGTACGGAGCTACACACCATGTACAAATCATCTCTTGAGTTCTACATTGGCTAAATAAACTAGCTTGAAACCTATTCAATGAGGCAAGTCAACTAGCCATGTGATTAGATATTACAGCATCGCTAGAAATATTTCCAAATGCTCTCAATTTCTTTACTTATATGGATTTTTAAGGAAGAATTTAGGAACTAAGAACCAGTCAGTGAGTCTCACTGAGTAGTACTGACATCAGGGAGGGAGCTAGGGGAGCTAGGTTGAGTGATAGTGTTCCAGAAACAGATGAGTATCTGCAAAGGTGAGGGCAGACTGCTATGTGAGAGGGAGGGAGAGGAAGAGAAAGAGAAACAAGAAAGAAAAAAAAAAAAGAAAGCCAACGGAGTCTGTGTGTGGACAAAGGTTCAAAAGGAGGCCTGAGAGGTAACTAGAACCTTTGTATCATGCAAATTATTTTGGTCTTCATTCTAAGACCAACAGGACGACGCTCAACTGGGGGCAGAGTGGAGAACAGAGTGCAAATAGCACATGTATAAGAGGATGCCAGTTATAAGAAGAGTCTTGATGGCAGGTGGACGGGGAGGACATCAGTAGGGATGAAGACAGGTGGAAAACTCAAAAGATACTTAAAATGTGAAATTCCAGAACTTTAGATATAAAGACAATGAATGAGCTCTGGTTTTGGCTCGCATGAGTAGATAGATGGAGGTGTTATTCCAAAAGAGAGGAAAGAAACCCCAAAGATACAGACAGATTAAGAATTGCCTTTTTGACAGTGAGTCTGAGAAAGTTTGAAGGATGTAAGTACACTTGAGGTTGACTTAAGCCATATTTCTGAGAGCCCATTAGCTGCAACAACCATTCTAGAAATGGCATTATTGTGACTGACCCAATATTATATTTACTGATTTCTACCATTAAAGCAGAAAACATGCTTCCTTTCATCACTTCTCCTTGATGCGCAGTCTTACCTTTTTAAGAAGTGACACCATTTCCTGTGACCAGGCCGAAGGGTAAGTCACAATAGCACTCTCAAACATGTGCACAATTTCCTTACTGGAAGTACTGGAGCGGATGTGATACGGCCTCTTAGAGGAGAGAAGAAGTAAAGAGTCTTCATTTTTATAAGGCAAAAGAAAGAGATTTCGTTCCCAAGCTAAACTTTCAACCAATGAAATATCAGCTATAACCCTTCTAGCTGAATGTTTTGCCACAGTGCAAATGGTCAGCAATGGCAGATACCCCGCTTTTAAGAAGATGCCAGAAACCTACAGTTTCTTGTGAAATATCATGATATTTAAGAGTTGATAACTCCACTGATCCAAACAAAACATTTCAGGGAGATGACTCAGCCTCTGAGATGCTGATTGGAAACTTTTAAAAAGGTAACTTATATAATTATTTACATAAAACCCTGGACAAGTGCTCAATAAAGTGAAGTTTAAAAATTAGACAAGAGTTTGTTATAAAGAGATCGAAACTTTTACCATGCCCTCCTTTTCACTTATTTGAAAAATAATGAGGAAGTTCAGGATATAAAGCTGTTCAGAAAACATCAAGCCCAATCTCAAATACTAAGAGTCCCTGGTTCCTTGGAAGGTGAGCTGGAGAACTTTATAATGAAGCAAAAACTTTTTAAAATTCTAGAAGAACCAAGTTTAATCTGTAGTTTTAAATTGGGGGAATTGTTGCAATTTCCATATCTATCCATTAGAGGGCAGCCTGCACTGATAGTGTCTACATGACTGACAGGATTTTACGTCTTCCTGTGAACTGTAAGCAATGCATAGCCAGGAAGTTAGTCATCCTCACATTCTTGCCCATGGGACCTATCATCCAATAGGTGTTCAGTATGTATTTTTGAAGCATAAAATTCATACATTAACCATTGGACACTCAATGTGAATGTGCTCATTCCTCACACACCCGGCCATTTCCAGATGTTTAACAAATGACTACTGACTGAGCTAAATTGAGGCAAAGGAACGGGTATGCATCTTCCTCACAACAAGTAAGTGTTAGGAGTTAACGCAGCCTAGTATTTGAACTCTGAAGGGAGAAGGCGTCGAGAGCTAAACTCAGCCACTCAATTTCTGAGCTTCAGTTTTTTATCTGCAAGAAGAAAGTTACTTCATCTGTAAAACGAAGCTCAAGATGAGATGGCTGGGAAAATCAGAGACGTTCTCAGCGGAATGTCCAGCACCTGTCAGACACAGTGCAGCAGGGTTGTTTCTATTGTTAATGACACAAGTGTAAGAAGGGCAGATTTATAAATGTGAGTAGTGGTCAACAGGATGAGTCTTCAATAATGGCGATGGCTCAGTTACACATGTGAAAAAAATCAATGTTGGTTATTCAGGGAATCATTAAGTACAAGGTGGTAACCCCTAAAAGGAAGATTAGGTCCAACTTTGCATTCTTTGTATGTAAGGTTTAAAATCAAGTGCCATAGCTTGGTAATGATGTAGGGGAAAGAGATCATTATCAGCTCAATGTCAGACAGTTCTAGAGGCTTTATGGCCTTTACCAAAGCACATTTTTATTAGTCAGAGGACACTATAGTCACTTCACAATATTCTTTCCCTGTGTACCAATGAGAGTTGGGTCAGGCTTAGCCTACCTGAGCTTTCAGTATTTTATGCCTACGACGTGTATTTTTTTTTCCTAAATTTTTTCTTTATTTTATGCTGCTACTGTTACTAAACTTATTTCTCTGCCCTCTAGAAAGCAAAATACTTTGATAAACTTGAATGAATTATCTGATGAATGCCACAAGCAAGTAGTTTAAAAGTGTGTGGTTTTCTTCCTCTACTTTAGAAGATCATGTGAGTGAATTTAACATTTTTGCTGTAGGGATATCTTTTCATTAATTTAGATTGTTACTTTAACAATATTTGTAGTTTTCATTCAATGTATAAGTCTGATATTTCTTGTGTTAAATGTATTTTTCAGTTTTCTTGGTATTATTATGAATATCATTCTTTTTTTCCAGTTTTTATTTTTTTATCAGCACAGGTTTGAATTACATAAAGATTATATTCATCTTCTTGGCCTGTCAGTTACTTGTAAAAATAATCAGTCTGTCTTCAGCTTACCTATTAACTTACTTTTCTAGTTCTAAATTTTAAAATTCACTTTATTTCATCAAATGCCATAATTATACATTTATTCATTCACCATTACTTAGTGAGTGCCTACTATGTCCCAGCACCTCTGCTCTGCTCTGGGGATACATTGAAGAATAAAACAACATGGTTTCTGTTAATGGAATCTAAAGTCTAAATACGGAAACATAAATACTTAAATAACAGTACACACATAAACATACATTTAAAAATGAGATACAAGTTTCAATGAAAAGTTACAGTATATAACAAAATATATAAAACAACTCAAATGCAACATATAAATCGAGAGTAGAGACTATAAAAAATGAAGAAGAAGAAAGGATGTGTTATGATTATACTTCCATTTCAGGAGTGCAAACGCAAAAGAGTTGTAGCAAAGGATGTAAGGTTTTGGTGAAAAGGTACAGAGGTATCTATCTTAAGTTAGTACTTATGGACAAAACTACTAAAGATGTGGGCCTTTGCCCTGGATGGGCAACAGGTACTGAGAGACCGAGAGACAACAAAGCAGGTTGATAGCTAAGGAACATGTTCATGAAGACTTTGATCAAGCTCAGAAACTGCTGGGATGTTTTCAAGCCCTGCTCTAAATCACTAAGGGCTACAAGGGATTCAGCAGGAAGTTATGTGATGAAATAACTTGAAGATGAGGTGAGGAATAACTTGAGGATGAAGTGTTTCTACTTTTAGGTAAATGATGTGATTCTTTTGGCTTTTTGTCTGTATACACATCAATATAATATCATTACCTTCATTAGATGTCTTTAGAAAGTAGGCCATAGTCCATCAGAAGCAGGTAATGCCTGTTCTGTTCATGGGAAAACTATGTATCTGGCTTACAGAGAAAGTCCTCGACTAGTAACATGAATTACTTATCAAAATTTGAATATGTGTTACAAATAGTGTTATGATTCTCTCCTCAGGGAAGCAGGGGAGTAAGAACAATGAATAAATTAGTACTGAAGTGTGAAATGAACTCTGTAAACAAAACAGAAACAATGATGAGAACCTCCTTTGGCTACTGTGGAAACACTTTAGTTCCCTGAGCAAAATGAGCATTGAACCATGATGATTGCCCCCATCATGTGAGCACACAGTGGGAAGGTAGCCATCTGCAAGGCAAGAAGAAAGCCCCACCAGATCCTGACCTGGCTGATACCCTAACCTCAGACTTTCAGCTTCCTTGCTTGAGATAACAAATTTCTTCTGTTTAATCTCTCAGTGGATATAGAAGAACTGATAGTACACTACAGTGTTTGTTTCAATATAACATTTTGTGGAATCTTTCCTTTATTCTTGGGTAAGAAGAACCAAAATAGTGAGAATGGCCATACTTGCAAAATTGTTACAGAGATTAAATGCAATCTCAATGAAGATACCAATAACATACCTCACAAAATTACAGAAGACAATCCTAAAATTCATTTGTAACCGAAGAGACCTAGAATAGCAAAAGCAATTCTGGGCAACAAAGGCAAGGCAGGGGGCATCACAATCTCTGATTTGAAATTACACTCCCAAGCTACTGTCATAAAAACTGCACAGTACTGGAAAAAACAACACAACAACAACAACAAACAGACCTGAGGATCGATGGAACAAAATAGACGATACCAAAACAACTCCAAACCTAGTCAGCCACATTATGTTTGACAAAGGGGCCAAACACCTTCACTAGAAGAAAGACAGCCTATTTAATAAACAGTGCTGGAAAAGCTGGATTTCCACGTCAAAGGTCAAAACTAGACCCATATCTGACCCCATGCACTATATCAAAATAGAAATGGATTGAAGATTTAAATATTAAAACCAAAACACTAAATCTGCTGGAAGATAGATTAGGTAATAGATAGAACTCTTTAAGACACAGGTGTAGGCAAAGATTTAATGAACAAAATCCCAGTTGCACAGGAAATACCACGAAGAATCAACAACTGCGATCTCCTCTTATTAAAAAGATCTTGCACAGCAAAAGAAACCACCAGTAGAGTGAAGAGACAACTCACAGTGTGGGAAAAATTATTTGCCAGCTGTTCCTCAGACAAAGCACTAACATCCAGAATATATAAAGAATTCAAAAAAATCAGACTTCCCGAATTTAAAGACCCAATCCAAGGTGGCATCTGAGATGAATACACTCTTCTCAGAAGAAGAAGTAGAACTGGCAAATAAATATATGAAAAACATTCAACATCATTGGTCATTCAAGAGATGCAAATTAAAACAATACTGAAATTCCATCGTACTCCAGTAAGAATGGATGTTATCAAGTAATCAACTAATAACAAAGGCTGGTGAGGCTGTAGGGAAAAGGAACCCGTAGAAATAAGTATGGAGATTCCTAAAAAAGCCAGAACTAGAAGTTCCATTTGACCCAGCTATTCCCCTGCTAGGTATCTTCCTGAAAGAATTAAAAGCATCATACCACAGCAATATATGCACATTCATGTTTATAGCAGCACATTTTATAACAGCTAAAGGTTGGAATCATCTCAAATGCCCATCAACCAATGAATGAAGGTGTGTGTGTGTGTGTGTGTGTGTGTGTGTGTTTGGTATAGGAGTAGTACTCTGCCATAAATAAGGATAAACTTGAGACATTTCTAGGTAAATGGATGCACCTTGAGACCATACTCAAGTGAAATACATCAGACATACATATTTAAATATCTCATTGTTTCTTTGGTGTGAGAAACTGAAAGGGTCGAAAAAGACCAAAATGTAAAATAAATTTTGTGAAATAACAATAAAATGTTCAAGTGGGAAGGGGAAAGAGGAAGAAGGAAGAGGAAGAAAAGAAAAAAGAAGAGATAGAGGCTGAATTACAGGACAGAGAGAAAGTAGGATGGAATGAAGGAAGGCTACAGGTTTTTGCCTGGCTGTGAATATGCAGCATCCTTCAAGTAAAGGGAAGAAAAACTCTGAGAGTGATTCCTGGACCATCCACCAGTGCTGCCAGAGCAGACTGGCTTCTACCAGGGTTGCAGAGGGCAGCACCACGCCTGGCAAGGTTGTGAGTGGAAGACAGCCATGAGCACAGAGCCTTTGCGGAGCCGCTGAAGAGGGTCTCCCTCCCCACGCTCAGTCACGGGAGTGAGGCTGCCACCCCGAGTCCTGGAGGACAGGTCATTCATCTGAAGATTTTTTAAAAACATTTTAATGGACATGTAATATTTACATTATAATATGTGTATCACATTATTGTAATTCAGAACATGTTTCAGTACAATGTTTCTATTTCTTCACATATTATTATTTCTATGCTCTGGGGACCTTTAAACTCTTCAGTTATTTTTAAATGTCTAAATGAATTGGTATAGGCCCTAGTTGTTCTGCTGTGGTGTAGAACATCAGAACTACTTCCTCCCAGTTGTATTCTGGCTCACATGATGCATCCTCCCTCTACCCCTTCCCCTCTGTCTTCCCTATCTTCTAGTGACCTCTACTGAGCTCTCTACTTCTATGTGATCAAACTTGATGCTTCCACAAAGGAGAACATGTGATGTTTGTCTTTCTGTGCTTGACATAGTTCATGTAACATAATGGAATTCAATCCTTTATGATGGTCAAAGGAGATATTTTTGAGTGTTAAAGTGTAATGTGAATTTCCTTGTTATGTTTGGGAAGGATTTTCTGTTTTGGAATGGAAGTGTCTGTCTAATGGCTACGTCACCACTGTATTTTATTTTATTTTTGGTACTGGGCATTGAATTTGGGTGCTTGCGCTTGCAAGGCAGGCAGCAGAACCACTGAGTTAAATCCCTAGCAGCTATAATTTAGAAGCACATAACTCATGTGGTTTTACAGGTTCAGGTTTGGAGAATTTCTTTTTTTCTCACTATGAATCATACCTTGGGTCTCATCCATACTCAATTTAGGTGGTATTTCAAGGAGACTTCAGAGTTCAGAGTTGGTGCTGAAATGAATTAAGGCTTTTGTGGCTATTGAAATGGAATGAACACATTTTGCATGGGAGGACATGAATTTTAGGGATCCAAAGGTGACTCAAATCCATATGTTGAAGCTCTAACCCTCCCAGGGATGCTATTTGGACAGAAGACCTTTGGCAGGTCATGAAGGTTGGATTAGGTCATGAGGTTAGAGCCCTCAGGATGAGACTGTGGCTTAATGAATTTATAGGAAAAGCCAGAGACCACTCACGGTATCTCTGTTTCTCTCTCTCTCTCTCTCTCTCTCTCTCTCT